CAGAAAAAATAATACTCAAGTAAAGTACAGATACTCAAAAAGTGTACTTAAGTACAATACTCAAGTAAATGTACATAGTTGCTGTCCGCCTATGTTGAAAAGGTAATTTATTCCTGTGATGGCAAAGCTGAATTTTTAGCAGCCAATTCTCCAGTCTTCCGTGTCACATGACCCTTCAGAAATCATTCTAATATGCTGATTTGATGCTCAGGAAACTTTTCTGATTATTATCAAAGTTGAAAACAATTGAGCTGCTTAATATTTTTTATTTTTTTATTTGCATTTTTTCAGGATTCTGTGATGAATTGGAAAATTTTAAAAAGCAGCATTTATTTGAAACAGGTTTTTCTAATATTAATATTTTATTTCAGAATTATTTCAGTTAACCAGTTTTAGTTTATGAATGGAAATGTTAATACTAACCTTTTCAGGCTATTACCAGACTCATAACCACAATGTCATTTTTTTATTGCATTATATCCATCAATAACATGAAAAAGATTTCCATGCTTAAAGAAACTGAATTGTAAGTAAAATATTAATACTCTTGCTTTGTAAATTTCACAAGAAGCATATCGCGTATTTGTCTAGGAAGGAAACAAGACAGATTAATAAAGACGAGTAATCAGACATGATGTTAAAGCCAGACTTCCTCAGGCATTCCCTTGATCCGAGTCTAAACAGTGAATCACACAACCTCCGAAATCCGATATTTCATTGAAAGGCCTTTTCTTTTCTTTATGTGAAACACTGAAATTGCATGCATGGGGTTCAGTGCACTTTATCACAGGAAACAGTTTGTCCCTTAAAAACTCGGTCTAGGTTGCAGGTAGTGATTCGATGCATGGAAGAAATGGGAAATTTAGAGGCTTTAGTGTGTAATCTGGGGTGCGATTTTCAAACATTTGTCACATCAGCTGATTTGTGGGGCAGCTTGGACCTATTCATCAGGCCCTGCTGTCACTGGGCAATGAATTTATGTTCCTCATCCACATACTCTGTCCCAGACCGCATCAACAGAGCCTCAATCACAGCCTTCATGTCTATCACATCTGCTGTTGTTATTGTTTTTTTGTTTTGTTTTGTTTTCAGTCACTGCACTAACTCTATATGATGTACCATTATTAGACAAAAACACAATAATTGCATTAGTTTGATAGCTTAATTTATTCCTCTGGCAAAGCTGATTTTTTTTTAGCAGTCATTACTTCAGTCTTCACTGTTGTATGGTGCTTCAGAAATCATTCTAATATGCTGATTTGGTTTTTAAGCAATATTTCTCACTATAATCAATGTTTAAAAGAGTTGTGCTGCATAGTATTTTTTTGGAAACTGTAATAATTTTCTTTCTTTTTCTTTTTCAGGATTCTTTGATGAATTTTATTTATTTTATTTTTTGCAATATTATACATTTCTTTTGATCAATTTAATGCATCCTTGCTGAATAAAAGTATTATTTTCTTTAAAAAAATCGTAATGGCCCAAACTTTTGAACGGTCGTGTATATTTTTATTTATTAGTTGATTATTTATTTGATTATCTTTTAATTTCAGTTATTGTTGCTATGATGTCTTAGCAAACCTTTTGATGTAAGACTCAAAGTAATGATCAAAGTGCATTTTGATAAAAATGGCAATCCAAATTAGGTTGTTAACATCATTCAACAGAATTTAGATTAAATTCTAGTCATTCAATAATGGTTTATTGTCAGAATTACACTGTTAAACATTTTAAAGGGTTTTTACAGTAACTTACTGGCAATACTGTTGCCAATAAGTTAATGTAATTAATATTTACAGTAGCAAACTGTATTTGATTTACAGTTGCAAACTGTACTTTTACAGTAAATTACTGTAAAAATCTTATTCATCAGTATACTACTATAACTTTTTTTTGACATGATGCAAAGGGTATTACAATTACTTACTGTAAAGGGAATTTACAGTTTTATACTGGGTAATATACAGTATATAACTGTAGAAATTACAGAAATGTCTAACAGTGTACAAAATATCTTGTTGTGTTCAGTGTTGTCGAAAATGAACTCAGTACAACAATTTACTTAGTTTAAGGCTTGTGTCAGTAGTCAAATTATTAAAAATGTGTTTGTGATATTATGTACCATATATATTAATCTATCAATTCTGTACCATAATTCATTTTAAGTTTGAAATTTACAACATGTTTTTCTGCTCTGGGTCAGTTGGGGCAATAACATTGAACGCTTTCATCGGAGCATAGCACACAAATACTAAATTAACACAGGCTCGTATGATGAATGCCCTAACATCCTAGTTCAAACCATTGGCCCGCTCACAGAGACACAATATTGGATTGCCCCTTTAGCTTTATGAGGCAGGACCTCATTAGCGACCAGTCTAACATGAATTTTATGTTGAAGTGTGATGCACACTTTTATGGCGGTAGTCTAATCAACAGGGATTAATTGAGAGCAGCTTTGGAAATTACTGCTGTGGTCCAGTGCCGCTGATGGAGATGTCCGCTATTCTAATGAGACCACTGCACTGTCTTCCCCCTCTAACAGAGACCATGCGTGGAATGGGATATAATCTACATTGGTTTTTCAATGGCCACCTTCAACACTGGTCACTCTATCCCCAAGAGTTAAGAGGAGAGAGAGCGTATTGATCGTGATAAGGCAGCTGCTTTTGGTCAGGGAGCCACTGCAGAGAATCCAGTGGAAGGTCTGGCCCTTTTTGTCACATTAAGCCACTCAGTTTTGTCTATATCAGGGTATGTAAGTGTTGTAATGTGGTGGAGGAAGAAATCAATGATAGTGTGTGTGCAGGTGGTAATTCACTTCTCTTCCTTACATGCACACAGAGAGGAGACCGATCATTTAGTAACATGTAGACTTAAAATAGTGAAGCTAAAAATTACTCTTATCTTCCTCATGTTGTTCTTAAATCCATATGTATTTTCTATGGGACATGCTAAATGACAGTTTGCAGTGACCAGAAACAACCAAGCTGGGGGGAAAAAAATGGTTGAGTTAAATCATGAATTTAAGAACTGACTCCATTTCATGAGTGAATGTTAATTAAATTTACCACAGCCAAGAGGAAGACAAATTGGAGTTTTAATTGGATTCAAAAAAGATAATTTACTA